CAAGGCTGTCAATCCAACATCAACGTTCATTAATAATGATGGTAACACAAGCCTGTTTTTTTCTGTTCTCTATGCACAGCAATGAAGAGCCCCACACCCACCGCAGTAAGAGAGTTATCACCCTCAACCTAAGGCAGGATGATGATTATTTTTATTATAGTAACAGCTAGTGGCTTCAGCTGAGATCAGGGCCCCATTGTGTTAGAGGTTCTACAAACACATAGTGCTCCTTAACCGAGGTGCTCTGAGAGTGGAGAGACATTTCAGGATAATGTCTTCAAGGTCTTTAATTCAATGACCTCTGATAGCTACATAGTGCTCACGCTCATTATATCAACACAGAATGTAGCTCTTTGGTAGAGTTTATCCAGTGATGCACAACTGAATCAATCTGTCGTGTCATACTTTCACAGCAGAAAAGAACCGATCCTCTATTGTAAAGCAGATATTCCTTGATAAAAACTCCCTTAAATTCCTTGATGGATAAATATAAAGATCTCATTCTCTTTTAAACCAAATGAAAGAAATACAGATGACAATATACATGTGTTTTGATTAAAGCCTTTTCCTAATAACTATCCAGATCTTCCACTGCAGTTCCAATCTTCAAGAAACAAATAGAATTCATTGATAAGAATGCCTCAAGATTGATATGAAATGGGTATAAACCAAGAGTAAAATATAAAGGGCCTGATCCTGTAATTTCTTTAGGAAAGAAACTTAACAGTCACGTGTAAGTTGTCTGCAGGGTTGGGCTCCAAATAATTTCAGGAAAACAGGAGGATTAAAAAAACATACCTTTAGTCTTCACTGTGACAAAGTGACATGGTGGTTCATTAGCAGTCCCCAGGAAATAAACAAATCTCAGGGAGTCTCACTGCAGAGGCAGAGGGAAAGCATATTCCTCAGCCAAAATGGTCCAAATCCAGTAGGTTTTTTCATTACTAATGATTCTATAAATATTTAGAACTAATCAAGCAGAGGCGTCTGAAGTATGCTCTGAGATCCGTATGCTTAGATCAAGTGACTCATTGTAGGAAACATGTCAGGAAAGGCATTTTGGGATTGGATGTTTTTCTTTCTCTCTCTTCTTTTGTGATTAAGTTTTCCAATACTGAATCATAAAGAAAGTATAAATATGCACCAAGAACAAGAGGCATCATCCAACACAGCCTGTTGGTCAATCCCATAAAAACATACCAAGCAATAAAGACACTCTCACAATTCAGGGCAACTGCACCTGTATTCTCCCTCCATGGACAAGCGAGAGCACCCACTCTAGGCTCCTAGCTCCTCAGCCATCCCCCATCTTGGGTAGAGACACACAACTCTCTCTACCTTCTGACTCCAGGCCCCACAGTTCCCTGCCTTCATTGTGAGTTTCACAGTAAGTCCAACTTACTCACAGCAGGCCTGCTTTGCTTTCTCCTCAGAGGCTATAAACAGTGTAATTGCCCACAGTTAATCCACCACACAATTTTTCTAAGCAAGCACATTTATTCTGAAGATAAAAGCATTTAGGAGAAAACATACTGCATGCATGCTAATCGCTTACCACAGGTCCCCCCATCCCCAGCTCCAGTCATGGCTTTGGCAGATGATCCGTCCTTCGACCTACCAAGGGTTTTTCTGTGGTTACAAGTTCATAACAACTGTTAGCTCAGAACGGGCACTCCCGTAAATCTGAGAGTTCCTCCTTTATACAGTTTGCGCCTTTGATCTTGGGGCTCTGGGAACAGCAAACAATTGTCCTCCCTTCAGGGCGTAGCTTCAAAGGCCTGGGTTTTTGCATAACCAGAGGCAGAGGAGATGGGGTAAAATTGCATTTACCTTCTCCTAGCTATTTCCCAGAAACTCCACTTCACACTATTGTCCCAACAGTTCATTGTCTGCCATATTGTCTAATATAGTCCTTTGATCACCCAGACCCACAATATTACAGAACCTTTGCATTTAATACACTGGACTCCAAAGATACTTAAACCTAATTCAGTGAGATCTCCCAAAGTACAGGGAATTGCATCTGTGTTAGACACATTATTTTCTACCTTTAAATATTCCCCTTATACCTTAAAATAGTGTCAGGAGACAGAATCTCCGAGCCTCACACCCAAATGCAGGATAAATAGGATTTACCCAAGGGGGCTCAACCTATTGAAGTCCTGATTCCCATTCCTCTGCTCAAACCATTACTCAACAACAGGGATATTCATTCCCAAGACAACCCGGGATAGGAGGAGTTGGGGGAGACATCAAGAGGATGCAGCTCCTTGCCAACATCTTGTCTCCAGAAATCCTACAGACTGATGCCTCAACATCTGGGCACGTTCTTCACTTGTCAAAGAGTGAAGAGTGTCATGGGACTTGCCAGCAATCTACCGAGCATAAACAGATGACAACGTGTCACAGTCTGGAAGGCTCTAAACCAGTTAAAGGCACTTTGGAGATTTACGTTCATTTGAACCAAAGCTGTGATCGGGACTTTGCAGAGAATCCTACACAATAGTTACAGAGCATTTGCTTATCTTGCACTGTGGTTGGGTTTGGTGTACACTTTAATGAGATGTCCCTGTCAAAATGCTTTGTGACAAGTAGGCTGAGCAGCACGTATACACAGGCTATATGCGAATGGGCCTTTGGGGGCAATTACAGAATAGTGTCTATGTTTGCAATCCAAAATATAGCTCCTTTTAGCAGCCTCCCATATGTAAACTAAACCACACTTACAACCAAGATATTGATTGACCTCAGACTATGTTCCAGGGGAGTTGGGATCTGAAGAACACTCCAACAGTCTTATCTCACTGGTTAGCAGTCTACCTGTTACAGAGCTGCAGCCTGGCGATACAGAGTGATCTGCTGACCTGTCAAAGATCCACACATGGATCTTCCTGACAAACAGATACATCTTTCTGTGACAACATGAGGTTCTGCTACAGTACTGGTCAGTTTCAACCCCTCTTCGCCCCGCAAAACTGCACACCTTCCACACCTTCAATAGCCAGCTTTCGTGTTTAAATATTGTGATAATTTCTGGTTCCCCAACTCCCAAAAAATATCAGAAGGATTTCATCCACTGCTCTTACAGTAATGTATTGCTTAACAAAACAAAACAGAAGAACTTTGTCTTGAACAACTTAAGCTGGGTCTAAATGACAATTTTTTGGCACAATACAGTCTAACGTCATTCAGTTTAAAGGTTTGAAATCCGGATTTAACTACAGCCATTGAAAAACACATGTGGCTAATTATCAATATCTGAACAACACTGGGGTTTAAATTCATCCCCAAAAGGATATATATGTCAATTGAAAGCCAGATTGCTGTCTGATTTTTCTTTTTGTTCACTATTGCTACAAACACCACCCACGTCTGCTATAACTGAAAGCAATGAGAAAGAAATATCTTGTTTTGTTTGCTTACTTTTTTCCATTTGACTGCACTTAGCGTATAGTCTGTTTCATTACGCTTTACCTGTGTGTGGGGGTTTTACATGCAGCAATGGGGAAAGAAAAGTATTTTTAAAAATTGGAAAATGTCGTTGTAAAACAAAACTAAAAAAGGCAGAGGAACTCAGGGACTGGTGTGGCATCTAAAACTATTTTTAACACATTTTAAAAATATTGATTAGATTTCAAGTTGCTGATATTCCTTTAATCACAGCAGTACACAAGTACTGCCATAATGAACTCATTTGGTCTAATTGTGCATCGTTGGTCACATGTGTTTTCCAGGGTCAGGGCCCCCATCCATCCCATAACTCTCGCATACACATCACTGACAAAGCTAATATTTCACTGCCATAATCATTTCACAGTCATAACATTTAGAGATGATCCAACACATGGTATAACATTTTTCATTGTAGAATGTGTAAATAACATTCTATAGGGAAACCTTATCATAGGCACATCACAAAGGGAAAAAAAGTGCAACAGCAGAAAAATATCATGAATTCTTCCTAAAACAGATGGCGTGGTGTCGAAAAAAGTTGACATTAATAATTTTCAGGAAGGAATAAAGTCTGTATATTTAAGATACAATCTCTTACCAAGCAACCAAGAAATGCACACAAAAGTGTGTTGATTACAATTTTCATTGAACTCATTCAGATTATCAGCTGGGGAAAGTGGTAATGCCCAATACAAATGTTCATGTCAAAAAAATCAGTAATTTCATGAAAATGTAATTGATTATGGCTCCAATCCTGCAATCGGAGCCACGTGCATATGTCTATCAAAGACACACACATCTATTCTGCTTAATTTTGATCTCTAGGACTGAACTATGAGCTTGTCTTGTTGTGTGGCCCCTGGAGCAGGCCAGGAGGCAGACACTGACTCTGAGATTGGTAATCAGCCTCCTGGGTTTCTCCTTGCTCTGAGGGGGAAGTACCCTGCACCAGGTCCATGGTCCTCACAGTGCTGGCGCAGCTATGCTGACCCCTGTGTTGGGGCATGGTGCAAAATTCTGCCCATTCCCCACCCTGGCCTTCCCACTCCTGTTTGCATGCATGGGGGACAGAACGTGAGATGAACAGGAGTCCTTGTGGCACCTTAGAGACTAACAAATTTATTTGAGCATAAGCTTTCGTGGGCTACAGCCCACTTCATCGGATGCATAGAATGGAACATATAGTGAGGAGATAAATATATACATACAGAGAACATGAAAAGGTGGAAGTAGCACGTGAGACTGCATCTTCCCCTGTACAACTACTCACAGCAAGGGTAGCTCACATGAGTTTAAGGGGTCGCCCAACACTTCTTTACAGCCCTATGCATTGCATAATTTGATCCTTCGCTTGCAAGAAAATCCATATACTATCCTGTTTGGTGTTCTGTAATCACCAGATTCTTTGCCAGCAGTTTAAAAAAAATCAAATTTGGTGGTGTTCACTTTAAATAATGCCACTTTATCTAGGGCAAGACCTGGCTCGTTAGGTTGACTAAACTGACACCCACTTTGATCTAGCAATAAGATCTTTGAACGAGACCTACCTCATCATAGACACTGTCATTTCTGCTGAAGTCTCCAACCTTCCTTGGAAGTACATGGACATGAACGTGCTGAAAATTCAAAAACAAACAATGGTGATTATCTAGATAATTTTTGTAGGCTGACAATGATGTTTTCCTGACATCCTATTACTACACACTGGCTCCCACTCTATTATTATCAGAGGAAAAAAATGTTAACCTGTTCTATAACTGAATTGCAAATCTTTGCAGACTACATAAGATGAAAAACATGAGAAAGCAACTTTGCTGTAATATGAGCTTTTGAGTGAAATGCCAGAAAGTTTAGGAATTATTCAGAGTTGTCAGTCTGAGTTGTATTTAGCCAGCGCTTTGAAATGACAGCATATCTTAGAGCTGACTGTTGTGACTTTGAAACTGACAGGAATAAGAATTTGCCAACTTCGGATTGCATTAGAAGGTAGATAGCAGGTGTAAGCCGAGGGGCTGCAGGGTCAGGGTTACATAGTATTGGCTCGGCAGTGTTCTGAGAAGACTATGGAATAAAGGAAATTCTCCTCAGACTCTGCTGTCAAACCACACAGCTGTTCAGATAGTAATGGTATTATGGGGAGGACACATGGGGATGTACAGAATGCCTAACAGCATGTATTTTGCAAGGCTAAAAAAAGACATGTTAAAGTTTTGGTTTTACAACATCTTCCAAGAAAGTGGAACCTGAACGTTGCTGGTACAATCTGTGGTGGAGGGCCCTGGTGGCATAAAACCCACTGGGAGTCCAGGTTCTGGGAGAGCCAAGTGCTCACAACCCTTATGAGGAAGAAGAGTTAAGGGACGAGCATAGCCAGAAAGGGCGTGTGGCCAGAGCAGTCACAGAGCGCAACAGTCTTCTGCAAAACTGGTGGAAATGAAGGAGCCCACTGATGTCAATGGGAGTCTTTCCATTGTCTTCAACGGACAAGGGATCGGGCCCCAAAGTCCCCTCCATATTCGGCAGAACCCCAGCGCTGGTAGCTGCAAGAGCAAAACCCTCCCTCAAAAGCATCTCTTGCTTGTTAGCTGCCTCCATGAGGTGTGATGTATTGTTGACATCAACAGCTCATCTAAGATTGGCCCTGTTGTACTATGGAGAGAGAGGGGCTGTATTTGTTCATGAACTCTGGGGAAAGATGGGTAAATAAATACTTTCAAATACAGTGGAACCCCGCTATAACGCGACCATTGGGGTCCAAAAAATTCAATTGCGGTAAATGCGGGGTCGCGTTATAGCGGGGTTCCACTGTACTTGTGTTCAGTTTGCAGCAGAGTGTGCACCCTGGCTAGCGGGAGGGAGCGAGCGGGGGGAGAGAGAGAAGGGGGGTGGTCAGCAGGGCTGGCTGGAGCCGGCCCTGCCGGGGACAGAGGTGAGAACCCCAGGGGCTCGCCGGGGCTGCAGGGAGAGTCGCTCCTGCTGCAGCCGCCGGGGCATGGATCCCAAACGCCCCGCGCCCGCTGTAGCCACCGGGGCCAGACTCGTCCCGCGTTATAACCGAATTGGCGGTATCCCGGGGCGCGTTATAGCGGGGTTCCCCTGTAATGAAAACAGGGGGATAAAATTCAAACAAGTGAACCCCCAGCTTTTAATAATTATTACTGCTAAGAATCCTCACACCTGAGCTTGTGGAGAGCTTAAGACTAAGCTTGTGCCTGACTAGACTGGCGAAGAGCAAACCAGGCTATGGCAGCGTAGTTCAGCGTCCAGGAAGAAGTGCTAAGGGGAATGCACATGCAGACCAACTGAGAGAAGCTCCTACAGGATTGAAGCCTTTTGCCAGCTGGCTCTAAATTCAACCACGAAGCCTATCACAGATACTGCTACTACTGGGGCAAACAAATAGGTAATTAAGTCCCAAAGTTCAAATATGCCTCTGGACGAGCTAGAGAAGGAGGGGGAGAGGGGCAGAGAGAGAGAGAGAGAGAATTAAAGTCCAGCTGCAGCAGCCTGTGCATCTGCGGCCACAGCAGTAAACCTCACAATCTCTCTCTCAGGTATCTCTATAGCGCCCATCAGAGCGGTATCTGAGCCTATACTAGAAATTATATCACTGCCATGGGATATTGAGCATTTATCTAACGCTTTCCAATCTGAGCCTTTAACAGCTCCTCTCCTCTCCGCCAGCCCAGTGTCGCTATCCGCTCACAGCGGGGACACTCGGATACCAAGGCCCAAACTCCTTCCTGGTGTAACTTCACTGCAGTCCGTTCGAAACTCACTTTTGTCCGACTCCCTACCTAGCATTAGACAAGTCACGTCAGTCAGTTTGGCCCAACTCCATCTTGGATTCAGCCCCACTGACTGCAGCAGCAGCCGGCCCAGGGAAATTCCTGTGACGTGAACCAAGGAAGATCCAGGAGCTGGAGGCAGCCATTCTCAGCACAGAGCTGTCCTCTGTGGGCTCCCCTGCCAGCAGAAAAGCCACATGAAGAGCGTCAGGCCAAACTCCCGTTTGCAAAGGCTTTTCCAGGATGGATGGAGGGGGCTACAAAATGGCAAGGTGGCTTTGCTTTCTCTTTTCCCTGCTCTCTCTCTTTTTGTAACCTGTCCCTGAATACAACCCTTCAATTTGTCATTGGGGAGGGAGAGCAAAGGGTCCTAGTTAGACTAGGATTTTGTTGGGGTTGGTCCTGTTTTGAACAGGGGCTTGGACTACATCAGGGGCAGGCAACCTGTGGCACGCAAGCTGATTTTTAGTGGCACTCACACTGCCCGGGTCCTGGCCACCGGTCTGGGGGGCTCTGCATTTTAATTTAATTTTAAATGAAGCTTCTTAAACATTTTAAAACCTTATTTACTTTACATACAACAATAGTTTAGTTATATATTATAAACTTACAGAAAGAGACCTTCTAAAAACGTTAAAATGTATTACTGGCACACGAAACCTTAAATCAGAGTGAATAAATGAAGACTCCGCACACCACTTCTGAAAGGTTGCCGACCCCTGGACTAGATGAACTCCTGAGGTCTCTTCCAACCCTAATCTTCTATGATTCTATGATTCTACAAAGCCTCATACTCAGTGCCTAGATAGGGTGGAGCTCGGGGCATCCGAAACAGCCCTGAATGCTTTGTGCAAAGTGTTATATGGATTTGCCCCTGGTATCACCTGCTGAGTTGCAAATCAACCCCCAGTGATGAACCGCAGCAAGATTTTCAGAACACATGGCTCAAGTGTAGATTGAAGCTCAAAAATCAAAATATTTTTGCCTGTTTGTTTGGTAGGAAATTTACACCCTGCGATATGGTGTTAGCTTCAGTCCATAAGAAGCCTTTGCTCACTGGAATAGAGAGAAATGACAGAAAAAGTTTCAGTTAGCAAGGTAGTCTGACTGCCTCTCCCTTTTTTCCTAGACTGCCCTAGAGAAAGCTGAGGAATACTCTATTGTTTATGCTGAAGAAAAATAATACAGAAAAATAATAATCAGGTTACAGCTGAAGATGCTTTTTGTAGGTTAAAAACTGTGTTTTTTGAGTAATACATCAGTGATAGTGTACTGATAGTGTATTATACTAATATATCATGAAAGCGATAGTGCTGGTATGATGTATTAGTGCAATACATCATCTGGGCATCATTGCTCTGATGATCTATTGCTCAAAACCACACTGCAAGCTGAAAGTTGCTCGTTGGTACCACTGGGCCTTCAATTTTACATTTGGAAAATTAAGGATTTTCAAGAAAAAGAAGAGAATGGAGCTTAAAGGTTGTGCTGGAAATTTCACCAGACCAGAAAGCTTTTGGGGTGCTCCTTCGATTTAAAATGTACACTATATTCTGTAAATAACCTGCCATTCAGTTTCTCTCCTTCTGGAACACACGGGTCTTGATATTTACCTGGCACAGGAATGTTTGAATGCATTTCTGTCCATTTGTCTATCGCCTTATATCAGCTAGCTCGTGGTAGATAAAGACAAACCGAGCTATTTTTAATAGTTGTTTTCATTTCTATGGAAAAGTGTCCCAAGGTATATTTGGGATAGGTACTATATATGACAGAGACAGACAATCTGGGCAATTCAAGTAGGAACATGAGCCAAACCCTACTGAAGTCAATGGGAAGGTGCCTATTGATTTCAATGGACGTGGACTCAGGCTCTAAGACTGAAAAAAGCAGTAAGATACAGTGCACGCTGACTTGCACTGGAAATGTTTCCTAATGGGACCCTCTATCCAGGAAGGCTGCCTGCGATTAGAATTAAAAAGGAGAAACACAAAAGATACGCCAATTGTATTAAAAAAACCCAACCCCCGCCCACGTTTATACCAGCATCTGGGCCACTTAAAAGCAGTAGGACAATTTCATGGTTTGTTCCCCTTTACTATTTGCATTATGTTTTTATGGAACGCGATATGTTGTAGAACAAAATCTACCTACCCTATTTAAAAACCAAGGGGTTTGCTTTTCGGAGGAGGTAACCATGACCAAGTAAGAAAGCAGGTGGTTTGACTGCAGATATCCCAGATACTTTTTTTTAATACTCTGAAAAGAACATAGAGGACACTGAATTCTCCCTACTGTTTGTGTAATAGAGTCGAGCAGGAGCTGCGAGGTGCAATTACATCTGAAGTGGTTTCCTTCTCTTCTGCTTTCCTGAGAAAATAAGGGGATAAAATAGCAGCATGGATCTGGAGGTGCCATGTGGTGAGAAACATCTGGGACAGGGAACTTACACCTTCTTTCATTTGCCTTCCAATTTCACAGCCTTCTGGGTGGGTTTTTTGTGTGGGTTTTTTTCGGTTCTTCATTAATTTTTTCTTTCACTAAGGCCTTGATCCAGCAAGGCCCTTAAGTACGGGCTCAACTGCCGCATGTGAATAGAACCATTAGGTTGATTGATTCAAGGGGACAATTCACATGCTGGAAATTATGCATGTGCTTTAGTGCGTTGCTGGATAGGGGTCTACGTTTGGTTCTCAGACACCACCTGACGGCCAAAGTCTATGCGCCAGATCCTCCTGTGTGCTCTGGCTGCTCTGAGACGCTCCAATGGCACAGAACATCCCTACAATATGCTTAAGAGCCATCTGAAAATTCCCCCTGGCCACAAA